CATTCAGCCTGGGAGGATGCATCTGTCTCTACCATCACACAGTCCCTCTCTATGTGGTTGTTTGCAAGAAAGTATAAGGCTGCAGATAGAAATGAATACAGTTTTATATGCATATTTGAGCCATATTAAAACATCCTGCACCAGCTTTAAATCAAATAACATTTATAGCATTTCTACACGGTTTTGCACTGGATTTACATTTGCATATGTAATTATTGTAGCAAGAACATCTTGGATGACATTTAAGAGGCAATTAAATGTTACTTGCAACACATGGCCCCTTTACATGCATTAAACTATAAGCATTTTTGGCAGCGGATGTGGTGCAATGTCCTGATCTGAATAACTTAAATCTTGTTTTTTCTTTGCTCAATAATCACCCTTCGTGGTGTGCGTACTGATATTCTAGCTAATATTGACAGATTTGGCCATTGATTGGCTGTGACTATCTTTTTTTAAGATTTTATATTATGTAATTCTTTAAGGAGCAGCATTTTTCCCTAGAGGTACTAGAAACGCCCACATGCACTCACACTCTAGAAGATACCGACACAAACACATGACATAATGCAAGCATGAAATGCATGCATATAAGCACGCTCTGCTTCCCTGCCTTCCACTTTCTTCTTCATCCTTGGCCAGCTACATTAAAAATTCCTCTGTGAAGACCATGGAGGTCTGCATCCTATATGAGAACGTGCTGTATAGACAAGGGGAGCAGAGGGAACAGGGTGGTCGTAACATGTGGCCAGTCGTGTGTGCTGTGATGAATATGCTTGCATTGGCTTTTTTCAGCCACCAAGCACCACCCTTACACTCCCCATTGGCATTGGCAATGCTTCTGTGTGATACTCGCACCATTCTTATCTCCAATTGGCCTTCCTCCTGGAAATCGGAAAGTTTGCCGGAATAGTATATTGTGGTAATGAAGTGAGTTACTGTTGCATATAATTAAGTGTGGCTGAGCCTGCTGTTTGTGCCTCCTGGTGGGGTCGGAATAGAATAGTGTGCAATGCCTATTAGAACTGACTCAGCCACAAAAACAAGTGAATTCACACATGCATAAACAGAGCAACACACACACAAATGTCCATGCATGCATATAGTTGCATCAGTAAACACTCAGTTTCTTTCTAATGTTTATGCTCTAGTATATTTGTAATAGTACAACAGTCTAACAGGCCAACATCTGTTTAGATTCAGCTACAAAATTGTGGCATTTCAGTTTAAAGGTCCCATGGCATGAAATTTCACTCTATGAGGTTTTTTAACATTAATATGAGTTCCCCTAGCCTGCCTATGGTCCCCCAGTGGCTAGAAATGGAGATAGGTGTAAACCGAGCCCTGGGTATCCTGCTTCACCTTTGAGAAAATGAAAGCTCAGATGGCCCAATCTGGAAGCTTCCCTTTATGTCGTCATACGGGGAAAGGTTACCTCCCCTTTCTCTGCTTTGCCCGCCCAGAGAATTTGGCCCGCCCATGAGAAAATTAGCTACTACCGTGCGAGGCGAGCGCAATATTTTTTTTTCCTCGAGAGACATCATGGCTTGCAAACGAGCGAAGCATGGCAGTTGCCCCGCCTCTCTCCTCCTCATTAGCATTTAAAGCTACAGACACAGAAATGGCACGTCCTAAGGAAAGCTCATCGTGGGACTGGCTCATAGAGGCTGAAATTCTGCACCAAGGTTGAATTTCGGGAAAGAGACTTCAGATACAGTACTAGGGACCACTTAGGCCTATATAAAAGCATCCAAAAAGCAGCATGTCATGGGACCTTTAAGTAATCTTGTCAAATCCCTCAATAGGAGTGTCACTTGGGTCACTTGTTGTAATCAAATTAACATGGATTTTTTTTAGTGCTGTGGAAGTATTGCCTTTAGGTATGCAAATATTCATCTACAATAGTCAGTAAATTCAGTAATGTCTTGTCTTGACATAAAGAAATAACAATAACAAGAAATTGTGCAACTCAAGACTCTGATTCTGTAGATTCCAAGGATTTCAATAAGCAATTTTCTCAAAATGGTGTAGTTAATTTGATAAATTAATTTCTACATTTGTTATTTCTTACTTTATTGTAAATACACTTTCTGATTGAAGAACAATTAATTTTATTAACGTTATTAATATCTGATTTAAATTAAATATTTTAAACCAGCCATTTTTAGTTTTAAAATTAACAGCCAAATGACTATAGGCTACATTAAAGACAATTAACTCTTGCCCCACAAGCGTTTTTGAAAAAAGCTGCCAGCCACCGCCAGCATTTGTGATAATTTCACTAAAATGTCATGGTCCCCAAAATATTTTGTTGTATGAATATCTGAACATGCAATACACCAAAATAAAGAACATAGCCTCTACTTTTAAACAAAAACAAATCCATTTGATTCTATCTTCAAGCATTCTTTTTTTATCAGCAGTTGAATGTAAGTAAGTTTCATAAAAATGCAACATTTTGAGCAAAAAGCTGAGAAAATTGCGTTTTTATAAAATACTACATCTGGATCATATCCAGTACGATGATCAAAGCAAAGATGCAGTAGATTGCTTGCACAGTCCATTACCACTTCCTGGACTGACATTTCACTCGGTAACATCAGGCAGTTTTCATTTATATGCTGTTTATTATATGCTGTTTATTGTTGTGTTACATACAGTGGTGGACGAAGTACACAAATCAAGTACTTGAGTAAAAGTATAGATACGTATAATAAAATATTACTCCAGTAAAAGTAAAGTACTCAGTTTTCAATTTTACTCGAGTGAAAGTACAAAAGTACTTGATTTTTTATGTACTTAAGTAAAAAGTACTGATAGATGAATATTTATTTTGCAGTTTTATTTGGCTACTTTTATCATTTAATTTTATATCAGCATATATTTTTTTATAATCCTATTGCTCAAAATACCTGGGATTTTACCAAAATAACCAATAAGGAAATAATGAATATAATAAGGAAAATATCATTATATTTTCATAATGATTTTTTTCTTCTCAAACCTTGTCTGTGGTATAAAACCACCCCTGGCCAAATGCCCCCCGAGGGCATCACTTCCCACTTTGATAATTACTGTAGTTACCATGTTCTGAACATCACATCCTTTCTTTTTCTCTCAGATGTAATCAACTAGGTAGTTGAATTATAATATTTGGACTTTATTTAAAAAAAAATTACCTCAACTTTAGCACCAGCAAGCTCGTTAGCTAGACAGTTAGCATCAGCTAACATTGACTTATTTACAGCAGCGGGGAAATGAATGTGCATGAGTTATTTTATTTAATCTGTGTTACTTCAATGTTTTTTTTAACTAAAATATTGAGACTCTGATGTTAATGTGTCTGCATTCAAGCATTTCAGTGGGCTTAAACAGATCACCCTTTACAGCAGATTTAGTTCACAGACAACTGACAGCTTTGACCTAAATATGATTTTCAGTTACAATAATTAATCCTAAAATTCGACATTAGTAACTTACTTTTAACAGCATCAGACGCGCGCGC